GGCTGTATTGGCAGCCTGAGTAGCTTTTTACAGCTCCATACCACGCTGTCACGAAGCTCTGGCGCCCGTGTCACCCCCAGGGTGGAGCAGGTGCTACTGTCCCGGGCTCTGGCCAGGCTCACTCAGGGCCCCCAGTAAGATCCAAGTGTTCGTGTCATAGAACCGTTCGTCCCTCTCAGACGTCCTCATTTTGTCTTTCTCTTTCAATAGGTACAAAATGGTGGCCTGCAACAGTTTGTGAGTATTTTTGTCTGTAACGAGGGGAACATCTTATAACATTGCCCGGGAAGCAGATAGTCGAACCGTTCCACACCTTACTGCAGAACTGTCTCCCCACAGCCTAGTAGCAAAGGAGACACAGATAAAATCGTGCCCAGAACTGGCTACACCAAGAGCAGAGGTTCTGCTGCCCAGCACACTTTGACTTGCGCCAAAATACTACCTATCAACTGTTTGTCAAAGGTTTGAAGAGTAAAAAACTTTCCTAATTCTGTATAACAAATTAAGTTTGGATTAGCTGGTGTATGTTACCCGTACTCTCCCTCAGCAGAAGCCAAAGCAGCCACCTGTCCCTTGTATGCTGCCAGTCACCCAGTCTTCGTCTGCGAGCCGTCGGTGTGTGTTTCACACCCTGCCCTGCTTCAGGCAGAGCGGGGCGGTGCCGTAGGCCCCAGGCACGGGTATTTCTCAGTGAGTCCACTCATGCAAACGGTGTCACACCCACTCCACACCCATTCATCCCATCGTCCAAAACGTACTGCGTGTTTTGCTGTGAGCCAGACACAGTGCTCACTGCCAGGGACCCCTCTGGGACCAAGGCAGATGCAGCCTATCCCCTGTGAGGTTTACAAGGTCAACGGCCCCAGCATTTGGCCAGTTGTCCCATGCGATCCCATTCTGCAGGCTTCCCAGTGCTGACAGCGGTTTCTTTTCAGACGCTGCCATTTGTCGCAAGGCTGAACTCTTCCATGGGTCCCGGACGGACTGTCGTCATCAAAGGAGAAGTGAACACAAACGCCAAAGGGTGGGTATCACGGAGTTGCCAGAAGTGTGTGCGCGCATGAACACTCTCCACGTGTGTCTTTTTGCCTTGTGTTCCGTGACAGTCTTGTGACATACAAGTAGGGCTAGTGTCC